AATAAGTACCATGTGCACAGTAATTTTCCTTGTCATGATTCTATGGCTTCTTCATAGTGCATTTTGCCAAAGAAACATCGGACATAAATGAACATTCTCAGGTATCCTAGCAACAGGATGTGATTAATAATACCTCTCAGAGCAGGGCAGATAAAATGCCTGAGAGTGAACGAAAACTCAGAATTGGCTACTGAGAAATTGGTGATGCAGTCAGAGAAGCTTGATAAGATTCCATGACAGACTTTATTATACAACGATGAAGCAGGTAGAAGCCAGAATACAGTCGAGAGAGACTATATTTGAGCTTGAAACTCCCGTTCACTGCATATCCATTTATGTTTATGTATGTTTGTATATAAACATATACGGTGATTTCCTTTTCCATTAGAAGCTATAAGCGATACTGATACAAATGCTTCTACTTGTCATTGATGAGACATCCTTGAATTGTGTAAATTGCATTTATGTGTTTTTAAAGAACAGAAACAACCATTGCGATTAAGAGACTTCCAAACTAAAGTACTGAGCTCTATTATAAATTGATTCATATTTGTTGTTTCTCTGTGGAACAATTTCAAGGCTCAAGTTTAAAATAGCTTTTTAAAAGTATTAAGACTCAGTTTATGTAAATAGCCACAGATTTGGAATTTTAGTGTTCAATTAAATACATTTTTCTCGTACAAGTAAAATATATCCTGCAAATTTAATTTTCATGAAATTATGGTCCATTTTTATCCCTCACAGGTGGAGTGCTCCATCTAGGTTTAAACAGAAATAAGATGCAAACTCTACATTAATGTTTTGCTTTCAAATTTGAACCAGTGGTAAAATAAAGCATAACGAGGGTAGAATGTGTGTTCATTATTCTGAAAGCCTCTCTGTTATTTTATCACCCACTTTTCTAATATAATAGTTTCCTGGGCTGTCACTTGTAATATAAACACCTCCTAAAAGCTCTGTTCTAGTTGTGCTTTCGCTGAACTTTCAGCAGGACTAAAATTTGCTTCCTGTTGCCTGGCATTTTAGGAAGGGCTGGAGTATGATACGGCTCTCTGCCTGCCCACTGGATACCAGACACCTGTGCTTTTAAGGCTTGGTACATCAGGGGACAGAAGGCACGGGGCTCATCACAGCTCAGTCAGGGCTGAGTGCCAGAGTTAGTGCTCTGAAGGTTAATGCTGTAAATAAAGGGTTAAAGGGACACAGGAGAAGGTGCTAATTTCTTCAGAGAAATGGGAGCTGGCCCAGAGCGAAAGCCTCCATGGAGAGCCCTCCTGTCCCCTCAGCTTTCAGGATGCACAGGCATTTGCTAAGCAGGAGTGACCCAGCAAGACGTTCTTGGTGGTAGACACAGGGTAGGTGCGGTAGGCACAGCACAGTTGCCGAGCTCGTGTGGGGGCTGTACTGTCTGACGCAGTGAACAGGGATTAGTGGTGCTCAGTGAAGGAAGGAGAGTTATGGCTAAATCATTGAGAGGCAATTGAGGGAACATAGATTCTAATTGTTCACAGAGACTGCAAGTGTGGAAAAGACAATGAAACCAACCAAACTTCACCTCAGGAAAATCTATCAAATTCCAGAATGATGGTGATGGTGGGAAGGAAGAAGACAGACCTGCAAGGCCTTGCACAGGAGCGATGAAAGGGGCTGAAGCACCGTCAGAGGCCAAGCAAAAGGAAGCAGCTAATGGTTCTCAGGTTTTGTGGTTCTCGGAGACCTGAGCACAGCACACCAAGAATGAGCAGATTTATAGAGAAAATATAATGATTCAAATTAAGTGCAGCAGAAGGTATGGACAGAGATTTCCAAAACGCTATAAACCCAGGCAGGTTTTGAAGCTAGAAATACAGCTACTCAGACTAATTTCTTGCTATGATGACCCTTAAAGACCAAGATAAAGATATGAATAAAGAAACTTATCAAGTTATCTCAATTTAAATTTCTTATGTTCCTGATCAATATATGTTCTTTTATATCTAGTATTCTTGTTTTTTTTTTTTGTTTTTTTTTTTACAACTTGAAGCTGTATATATTTTAACTTTAAAATCCAACAAAAATCTAAGTAGCTCCTTGTGGTAGAACTTATAGCATGAGGGAGCTACCAAGTAACATTTACATAGCCTTTTACAGTCCGCAAACATTCTTTATAACAAGAGAACCAAGATTTCTGTGATCCTAGTTAAACATGCCTTTCAGTCTCCCTTCTTAAACACCAGACCTCAATATTTCATGTGCATTTAATCCATTTCTTGCTCATCACATGGAATTATTCAGTTCTCAAGGTATTCTACAGAAACAGGTTATGATCCTCAATTTAAAGATGAGAAACTCAGGAGACTGATTGACTTGCCTGCAGTTAGTTTCCATTATTGTAGAATCATTATATTATGTAAGTCATGAATTGACAGAGCTTTATAATCTGCATAACAATTTTCCTGGGTTGTACCAGCTGAAAATAACAATAAACTCTTGTCATCTCATCCATTTCCTATGCAGAACTCCTGCTTTGGGCCCATCTCTCCCAGGAAGTAGCAGGCAGGATGTATGTGGACCAGAGGTGCCATCACCTGCGGACTCGACCACAGCTGCTGAATATGCTGTGCCTGTGTCTGGCAGGTTGATGGTGACTGTTAGCAAGAGGTCTTTGGTCGTCACTGGCTGTCTACCCAAAACCTCAGTTCCATGCTCTGTGGCTTTCTACATAGGGCTGGCTGTGTGCCCCCAAGGACACTATCTGGCCTCCTTCGGAGACAGGGATCCAGGAACATGAAAAATGAAAGCTAAAATTTTTAAAGTCCAGATAAACCTCCCAAGTCACATTCCATCAGTTTTGCAAAATCTTATGGGTTACAGGTGCCAGTCTAATTCAGTATGGAAAGGGACTCTACAGAAACATGACCACCAGAAGAAGGAAAGATGGGGTCATCGGGGACACTGTGATCTCTTGCTACCTTATTTATCTTAAGCACATTCACCCACTTTTAATTGTTTATTATTTCATTCCAATATAAACTACTGTTCTCCAAAGAGATGTTTTCCTGTAACTATTTTGTAAGTCAAGCTTTGGGTGCCATTTTTTTGAAGTTCATGAACACATTTGAGGCTTCTAGTTCTCATAGGTAAATAATCGAATAATAAACAGTGGCTTGACCAGTAGGAAACTTACATCAAGATGCACCCATCATATTTGGTAACAAATGCAACCTTTAAATGGACTATTTATACCACTGATCTGTTTGGTTCATTGAAGTAAATTGCAACCAACAATTCCTTTGGAAATCACCCAAGAAAACAGAACACACCATTAATTAAGGTGCCAGTTAAATGAATATTATACATTTGGCAGCTGCAGGAGGGAAAATTGCACACTTTCCACCTTATACTTGAGGATTTCTTTTAAAAACCTAAGGGCTTGTAGATACACTTGTGCAAAGCCTACATGTTGATTCCATGTGCTGCACGGGCTCTCCGTGACTGGCTCCAGCTGTGAAACGTGGGCACATGACAAGAAAATGACAGCTGGAAGGAGAGTCCGCTCTGACCAATGCCACACCAAGACTCACACCTCAGTGGGGCTGTTTGCATACTCCTCTGCCTCTGTTTGTTTCTGCTTAACCTATTGCCCACTCTTGACCATTTGGATACTCTGAATTTCATGAACAAGATGAAATAGCCTCATCTTCATCTTCGTCATCACTTATTTACTCTTAAGTCTTTCACAATCTCTTTTGTGTTCCCTGTCCCCTCTCCGCTCAGATTATTGCCTCGCTGCGAGAACTCAACCCCATGGAATACTGTTGGAACTCCACCCACACGCCCTTGCAAACTTTACAGTGGTTTGTGATACTGCATCTGTGCATCCTCCTGGATCTTCTGTGTTCTCATGGTCTCATGTCACAAAACTCAAGTAGTGTTTTTGTGTCTTGGTTATGAACCTCAGCCCATTTCTTTGCCTGTATGTATTCTTCGACTTCATAGTCCAGACATCTTCTTAAACCAGCATTTGCTGCATCTGTAGTTTCAGTTCTAGGTGGAGATCCCTGTGTCCATAGCACCTCAGACTCAGTAAGTTGAAACAGAGCTCCTCATTTCCACACCACGTACATTTTATCCTTTCCCCAAAGTACACACGGTGCCCAGACTCTAGGTAACCTTGACCTCTCCTCCTCCCTTACTACTCACAGTTTGTAAATCCATGAGCCCTCACCTTCCCTTTGCCTTTTGCTCCCACCAGTCCCCTCCTCTCCATTCCAACATCATGACTTAGTCCACACTTTCTTTGCCTCCTGCCTAAATTCCAGAATATTTTTCCCTTTATGCCCTTCTATTACCATGTGAGTTCCTAAAGGAAGCCCTAACCTAAACTTACCTTCTTGTTGAGTTTCTCTTGTCCACTTTAATCCAGTCTTCTTCCACTACCAACACTCAGGCTTTTCCGTCTTACAAATTCCCGTGAATGCCTCAAAATCTACGCCAAATACCACTTTCCGCACAACTTCCCAGGCAGTGCCTCCTTTTATAAAACAATTGCTTCAAATTGTCCCGTTTTTAAACATCCTGCACCTTTTGCTGTATATGTCACTGTGATACTATCTGCCCTTCCTAGCTTTAAACTAGGTTGTGAAAGGTCAATGCCTCATTTCAGTTGGCTGTTTTTCCTGTAGAATATTTTCTATGGGGATTTCCCTTTGTAAATTCATTATCTAGTCAATCACTCTTGCTAACAAGATTTTAAAAACATCATTAAGATATAAGAAGAATCAATGGCTGCTAACCAATGCAAAACTAAGCTTTATGTTTCCATGTCATTTTTTTATTTTTATGAAATAAGAATTTGAATAATTTCTTGTATCTGAACTCTGCACCATCTTTTCTAGATACATGTTAGATGTGGCTGAAATAGCGATACAGTACAATTATAATAAACTAGATTTTTCTTCTTAGTCACATTATATTCTTATGATCGCACACTACAACTTACCTACCACTTCTCATTTCAGGGAGAATGGAGAAGAAAAGAGAACAGAAAGCAAGTTCAGGTAAGATTGTGTCTAATTGACTCCAACTTTCTTTCTTTCATTTCTACTTTTAAAAGAAATGTAGTTACAATTTAGTATTCAAAGTTTCACATAAAAATAATCATTTATGATCCTTGAATTGAATAATATTAAATTAATTTGAAATAAATTAATACATTTAGCCTTTTTACTTTCACATTAATCAACTATGTCCTTTTCATTCTTTTCCTGTTGAAAGTAAAAGAGATGGAATGTTTAATTTTTAAGTGATTATTAAAGGTAAGTCTTACAACCAGAAATATGAAAATGTGGATTTTATCATAATGGCCAACTAGCTTACTCTTCCAAATGTCTGATTTTCAGACAAAGATAACTAATTATCATAGGCTACTTTTCTCAATGTCTATGAATCTCACTGTTTTTCTTAAAAACATGTAATTGAGCTTTTTTTCAGGACAGGATTAATTACTCAACTAAGGATAATCTTTAGGAGGACTTTTCAAAATATTTTCATGTCTAAATACTGTAGGAATGGCACATTGGCACAGTATCATTGCATATACTAGGGACCAGTATTTGTTAAGTTATATAAAAATAAACCTTATATTTCCATGTTTTCATTGCACAGGTTTTAGCTTAAAGCCATAAATTTCATTCAAGTAAGTATTCTTATAGAATCAATATTTCAGGTCACAATGCCCAGAAATTTCCAGTGATCCTGGAGGTTTCTAACTTGGCATACATACCTGTGCCCACCACCACCCTTCCCAAGTCCGTAACAGCGCCTACTCCTATGACCATTGGGAGCTGCCACTGTAAAGACACAGCACCTTGTCTGAACTATCTGTTACGGTTTTTTGTGGGGGAGGTTGGATCCAGTAACAAGGTATTATATATGTTTCCAAGCAATCAGCATAGCAGATAGAAGACAAAGGCTGCCTTATTCTAAAAGTATATAAACAGTGGAAATTCCTCTCTCATTACTTCTTCCTGCCTTTAGCATTCCATGCCAGGCAAGAGAAAAACTTACTATCCATCTGATTTCTCTACTAAATCTTGCTATTTGAATCCCAGTCATGCACACACACACATGCACACACCCACCCACCCCACAACACACACACACAATCATAAGGCCAAAAAGAAAAGTCTGAGGTCTCCTTATAGCTGTGGTTATTTCCACTGTTACACCTGCAGGGAAAATTATTTGTACTCTTTCTAAAATTTGAGTGTTATGATGCTTTATATGCTGGCTTCTTAATTAAAGAAAGTTCTTGGTTCAGAAGAAAGCTAATTTGGCCAAAGTGTTAAGCAAGATGCCTCTTTAAATCCCCTTCATAGTAGTGGACACTGAAGCTCTGCGTGACCAAGGTGACACAGAGACAAATACAGGATTAAGACTCCAATTCTGGCTTCTTCACTCTTTGCTCTTTTAGTACCTATTCCCAACCTGACCTCACTTTCCATAACAAAACTCTGCTCATTGTAATACTGTTTCCTGCCTAAGAAAGTATTTTTCAACAGTCAGAAAATCTTTGGAAGACAACAGCATCTTTTGCATGGAACATAGTCAGTGGGATTCTGAGGAAGCTCACTTCATTTAGGGTGCTAATTTGTCCCATCTGAATCACAGCTTCTCACCCTGTCTGATTTCCATGAGGAGATGAAGTCAAGAATTACTACTGGATAAGGCCCAACTTACTGAGGAAAGGTTTTCATCATTTCAAAGCACACAGATCCCTGCACATAGGCTGTAATCACAAAACACAGGCAGACTGAGGCAAAGAGTTCTGATTTCAGATGCCACCTGACAACTTAGTGAGAGGATGTATTGAAATAAAAGAATAAAAAGGGCTGGGCGTGTAGCTCAGTGCCAAGTCCCTGGTTCAATCCTCAGTACCACAAAAATAAATAAACAAAACAGTCAGAAGACACAACCATGTCCTCAGAAGATCCATACTGTGTTTGCAAAGATAATCTGAGGTTTCAAGACTGGGGAATAGATTTTACCATATAGTCATAAATTTCATCACTGTGTGTCTGTGATGACAGCTTGCATATATGTGGATATAGCTAAGATGCTGAGAAAGATAACCTGGGCTTCCCTGTTTCTGACTTCCTGTCTGGACATCTGGGTGTCATTTGTTGTTCATCCTCTTCAGTCTCCATGCCCTGCCTGCTAAACTGGACTTTGTGCCCCAGACCCTCTTACAGCCAAGTCCATTTCTCAGCTGGGTAGGTCCTGAAACCTTCCCATCCGCCTCTATCCTACTGAACTAGTTGTGATAGAAATGAAAAAATTAGGAAACATATTCTAGATAAACATATTTCCCATTAAAACAAGAACCCACCAAGGTTTTGGTGGTTAAGTTTGAGTCATTCTTTGTATAAAGACTCTTGCACTAACATGAGTGCTAACCAAATGTAAGATTTTGCTCAGGACAAGAAATGACTTTCTAATAAGGAAACATCTCCAGTACTGGAAAGACTGACAGTGCAAGTAAAGATACACAGAGGCCAGGCATCCTTGTCAGGAATGCAATCAGGAGATTCATGGAGAATGTGGTTAGATCACTTCTAAGGTTCTTTCCAATTTTATGTTTATGGTTCTATTTGCTATTATTATTTAACTGAAATTACTATGTATATTTAGTACACAAAAAATCTTAAATGGATCATATTTCATTAATGAATGAAATCATGCTACAAAACTTCTGCTAATTTAGGTTGGACTGAGTTTCTCACAGAACATAAATAGTTCTCATGGAGCTAAATGTGTGGAATGAAAGTGTCCTGGTGTCTGGATCGTGACTTTATTCAGAGTTTGTCTGCATTCTAATTGCAACCCTGGCTGTAGCTTCATATGTGAGCCAGGAATAACTCGTAATTAAAAACCAAATCATAGCTTTGTGATACCATGATTGGAAACCCTATTCATGAAACATGGTCAAAAAGACTAACCATGATTACTTGACTTAGCAAAAATTATTTAATGCATGTAGTAATAAAATGATAAATGGACAAAATACAAAGTGAAGTACTTCGTATCATCACTTAGCAAATCTGTCCCTGATTTTATATGACCTGATTTCTTTGCAGGAAAAAATGATCATCAATATTTTACATGAAAACTATTGAGTCTGAAATATTTTTATGAGAATAAAAAGCTTTTTTGAGGCTGTGAACTGCTTTAGTATATTATAAAGCTACATCTTGTAAAATACAAAGAAGAATTCTTATAAAGAAGAGTGCTTGATAAATTGTTGTTTAGAAAATGCTATTAGGTTTACTAAGGTATACTATGGAGCCACCATCTGTTATGAATGTTTTGTTCCAATTTTTCCAACAAGGAGAATCCTTTCAAATTCAGCTGAGTATTAAATAAAGTGTCATCCGGGTGAATCAAAGAATGGTGGAATCAGCAGAGGATAATAAGTATTCTAAAATGAATTGCATACTTTTCATTCAAGACATTAGAACGACCTTAACTTTAAAGTGATTTGTTCATATGCATAATTTGCAAACAGAAAAATTTTTTTCTCATCTGGAAAGGTGAAAATTGTTGCTGGAAACCCAGTACACGGCAGAACATCTGCTTTGCGTGTCCAACCTCTTGCTGCCTACATTTACGCTGGACTTTTTGTTTTTCAGAAGTGTTCTGAAACAGCCATAACACTTCCATTTTAAAAGATTTTAGCACACATTGAACATACAGGCACTTAAGATTTTAAAAATGAGCAAATACTGAATAAAATCTGCCACTTGACTGTGAGAAACACGTTTTCTTTCTTACATATTACTATCAAGTGAACACATTTTTAAGAAGATGCACATTTAGCATTTTTCTGTGCCATTCTGATTTTGTAAAGCTTTTTGAAATAGTTCCTATACATGACCAAAAAGTTAAGAGCTAAGTATAAAGACATAATTTGTTCTAGTGTTATCAGTGACCAACATAAACATACAAAGTTAGCAGTGCAAAAAGATTTAAGTGAACTTTCAAGTTCAGAAAGCCTCTTTTTTGAACATTGGTATTATGTATATGTTTCACTCTCAGTTGAAATTAAGTTTGATAGTACTCGTCATCCTAACTTATTTCTAGCCCACAAAAGCTGTTTCCATGACACCTTCTCATTAGATACCACAAAGGGTACATCAAAGGATATGATGTATTTATAATCTGGTACATCCAATTTGTTAACATTTTCATGTTCCAGAGCTTGTGTTTCATTTTGGAGAAATAAGGGCAAACAAGATATGGGATAAAAGTACTCAATGCAGTAACTTTCAGCACAGAGAGGGAAGCACATATTACTTATAATACACAGTAGGAAAAGCACATTTTACAGAATTACGCACACGGTATCACGAAACCTTCTAGAAGAGCTTCCTGAATGAAGTGAAGCTGTGTCAATCCCTGACAGAAGAATTCAAATATTACCACATAGAAAAGAAAAAAAGGCCTGGCTGGGCAGACAGACATATTAAGCAAAAACATGACCCATTGAGGGAAAGGTTAATGGTTTAGTAAGACAAAACTATAGTTATAAATGGTTAAGAGACAAGAGATGTGGCTAGAAAAGTTAGCCATAGGCCAGAATCTGGAAGGACCAACTATGTCGTGTCCATCAGTAGTAGGTGCTAGAAGTTACTGAAGTACAAGCAAAAGCATTTGAATTTTCTAAAACTCCTTCTAGAAGAGGGTGTTGGAAGGGGATTGACTAGGGCCTGAAAAATCAGGGGGCATATCATGTTAAGTATCTGTGAATACAAGGGTGGAGCTCTGAGGAGTCTCCTAAAGCAGTGCGATCAAAGGAAAGGCCACCAAAGTGGAATGCAGCTACATCCACGTGATGAACGGGCCTGTGTGATTCGATCTGGGAGATAATGGAGGAGGGCCCCCAAGTCTCTAGTCTCTGTGAGGATATGAGTGTGCAACCTGAACAGAACAAGATTGGTAACAGAATAACACATGGAGTTATGCCTATATTGACGATAGTGTGACATAATCAATATGAAGC